GAACACCAACGCGTAGTAATTTTGGTCAATTAAAGAAATTGAGCCTCTCATGTAGGCAACCTCAACGCTCCACCCTACAGCAAAATAAAATATTGGGTGGGCAACTAAGTCATTGCCGTTTTTGTTGACAGATTCACTCTATACTTTCTTTTGTTTTGTTAACGTGGCCAGAGCATCTAACCTATATTTTTTTCTTATTGTATGGGCTTCTAGGTTAATTAGTAAAATTTTTTTGTTTAGTTCTTTAGTTTTGTTTTTATCCCAATTTAAAAATGAAAGAACAGGACGTGCACTTCCGACACATTTTATTGTATTACTTCCGAAAAGGCAAGAACGCATCGCAAGCACAAAAGAAGTTATGTGCCGTATATGGAGATGAAGCCTTAAAAGAAAGGCAGTGTCTAAATTGGTTTGAAAGATTTCGTGATTCCGGTGATTTTTCACTGAAAAATTCACAACGATCTGGCCGCCCAGTCGAAGTGGATGAAACCCATATCAAGGCCATTATCGATTCAAATCGTCACAGCACAACACGAGATATTGCAGAGAAGCTCAATGTGTCGCATACATGCATTGAACAAAAATGAAAAACCCTTGGTTATGTCAAGAAACTTGATTTATGGATCCCTCACCAGTTAAAGGAAATTCATTTGACGCAACGGATTAGCATCTGTGATTCCCTACTGAAACGCTATGAGAATGATCCATTTCTGAAGAACCTAGTTACTGGCGACGAAAAGTGGATAGTTTATAACAATGTTACTGGCAAGAGATCATGGGTGAAGCAAGATCAACCAGCCCAAACAGTATCAAAAGCAGAGATTCACCAAAAAAAGATTATGCTGTCAGTGTGGTGGGATCACAAAGGAATTTTGTATTTTGAACTCATGTCGCAGAACCAAACGATAAATTCAAATGTGTATGTTGAAGAACTCGAAAAACTGAAGAATGCAATTGAAGATAAGCGGCCGGCATTATCAAATCGGAAGGGTGTTGTTTTCCATCATGATAACGCAAGGTCCCCCCCCCCCACACATCTTTGGTTACTTGGCAAAAATTATTAGAACTGGGTTGGGATGTTTTGTCACACCCACCATATAGCCCTGACCTTGCGCCTTCGGATTACCATTTGTTTCGTTCCATGCAAAACCCTTTAAATGGTAAAATTTGTAACAACGCGGATGATGTCGAATCACACCTAATTCAGTTTTTTAATAGCAAAGTCCAGACATTTTACGAAGAGGGAATTTTTACTCTGCCAGAACGATGGAAAAAGGTCATCGACAAGAAGGGCCAATATCTAATTGAATAAAGTTATATTTTTAAACAAAAATTCCGAATTTGTCTTCTTATTTGAAATCGGCAATGACTTAATTGCCCACCTAATATCTTAAAATGTTTGAAAACTGTTCACCTGGAACGATAGAGATTTTGACACATTTGATCTGAAAACGAGGCTATAAAGAAAGGTATGAATATTCTGCTCTAACAACAAAATAATTCCAAATGTTGGTATTTCTCATTGCAGGCATCTTCAATTTGTACTTATTTAATGCAATTTAGAATGACAGCAATTCCTAAGAAATGGACATGAATATCAAGAATGAAGCATTAACCAAGTAATTTAATCATTTACTCAAGATGAGCATTATAAAGTGATTTTCCAGATAGATTTAGGATTTACGACAAATATTATATACTTTTTGGAATAAGTTAACCAAGTAATTGTGTTAGGTCAATTTTTAATTAAATGTTTATGAATACTTTATTGAGGGATTGATTAACGCATACCAAATCGTTGAGTTGATAGCTTGTAATATTAATTTTCTCTCTAGTCACATATTGGTTCCTAGACTTCACCCAGAGAGGAGCCTAATGAGGCAAAAAACTCAACGCTTCCAAACCTCATTTCATACTTCAATTCAACTCTGTTGCATCTATGCACACTGACTCCAAGGACTGGTCAGTCCCGCTGCGTATTTCGCGCCTACTAGTTCCTCATTAACCCATGTAGAAAGTCTTATCTTACTTCTATTTCCTTGTTCCTCACAATCCGGCTTATTCTCGCTTGGTGCCGACGCCTCCTCCTTTCTTCCAATCGCTTTCATCTTCTCCCCCTCCCCCATTTACTTTCGTTGCACATTCATCACAGAAAGATCATTAGACCTATTAAGACCTATCTAGCCTAATTTGAATTTATTTTTCGGATTAGAACTACTTTATTTCACCATTTCTTCGCTCACCCGACTATTTACTAAATACTCTGTACAGATCTTATCTCAGGACTAGTGGTGTGCAGGAAAAATAATACTAGTGAGGAACCAATTAGGTTAACTAATGCTGATCGTGTTTGAAATAGGTTTATATAAAGGGAATAATCAGTATCTGCTTGCTATTTAACTCCATGGTAAAAGATCGATAATTAATATGCTATGTTTTTTCCCGATGTTTACAGCTCACCTCAAGGGAATCAAAATGAAATTGGTAAAATTCGATCCTGCCAATTGTGCGCAATTTTTTGCTGAAATGAAGATAATGCTTTTTCATCATCGTCGGCCTTTCCTTTAACAGGCGTAACAATCAGCTGTCTTTTTCTATAAATAATGGGTGAATCGAACACCATGTATCAAAATTTATCCTTAGTACTAGCGCCAAATCAAATGCAAGTCTCTTTAATGACTAAATTGAAAAAACGACAAAAGAGTGTAACTTGTGTTCTACAGATCTGAATATTGAAGAATTAGACAACTCTAGACCATCCTTACACTAAGCCTAATACAGCTGTTATTCTTGGAGGTAGAAATAGAGCTGTTAGTTGATATAAGAGTTGATTAGGCCCTAATATAAATTCACATAGGGAACTCACTGTTGGAGTGAAGAGAATTGTGCCGTTCTCCCCCAAGCTGTTATCGTCGATCAGTCGTTGATCAGTTGAGAAAAGTCGTACAACATCTTATAAGTGCCGTCATCTGGAGAGTATTTACGAGCTAGCAAACATTTAAGGATGATTTTTTCAATTACACGAATGTCTGAATAATTTGTTGAAGTCAACAACATACCGTACCCAATTGGCAGTGAACTTACAATAAGGCGCAATTGAAAGAGTGGAGTAATCTATTAACGCACTATTAATTCTCTGTTTAATTGAAACTCTTGAGAGTAATGGGAAAATAGATGAAAAAGCTTAGTTAAATGAGAAATCAAACCAGATTTAAATACGTTATATTAAATCAAAGCTGATATTTTAATGTCAAGTGAAGACCATGAATGCAGTTAATAGGGTACTAATAAATTAATTTTGATGGTCATAAGTATATGCGTTCTTACAAAGTCAACACTTGGGATTCATCCGAAAAATATAGCACCTGAGAGGTGTGGTATCGCTGAATTTGGTTTAAACAACTATTGATACAATTTTACATTAACTTATCAGTTAGGAAGTTACTTATATCTTTCCTGCAACCTTTTGTGTTGAGGGGGGGGGAAGGGGAGGGACATTTATCATTTATAAATATTTATTCAAAAGGCACATTACAAGTTCTATTTTGAAAGGAGACATAATTTCGGTCATAGCCTACTAAAGAACAATTAAATTTGACAGTTCGAACAAAATGTCTTTCAATGAGGCTGTGGGAAACGTTATCGCTGTGTGCGTCATCGTATGCCTGCATGTCTGCTCACCAGGATTGGGAGGTGCGGCCGTACAACTCCGTGTGCAGCGACCGTACAAACAGTGACCAATCATTAACCTGTGTTTAACCTAATCCCCTATCCTGATCATGAGTAGCTCCCTGCGTGTACACACTTGATTCGCAAGACCCTTACTGAATAAACGTGTTCCGTGCTACACGTCTGTTTCCTTTATAGCTGGGCTATAGTTTAGCTGGTTCTGGGAGTCTAGCTAGATGAAGGAGGACATCCCATAGAGATTTCTGAGTCAGTCAGGCTTTAATAAAATAGCAGTCCGCTACAAGGTTATAGAGAATCAGCTCAGAGCGATAGTTTGCACTCTAAAAAAATTTCGAAAATCGTGACCGGCTAAAATTGATGAAAGAACGCAATTTAATTGAAAAACACTCTTTTTTCTATGATGTTTGATATCAATATAGGGGGAAGTTGCACGATTCCACGGAATACCACTGTTGTCAATAATAATAATTCGATAAAAGTAATTTTAATCAATCTCGTTGATCAATTGAAAGAAGGCATCGGATTTTTATTCAGTTGTTATGTTATAAACAAAATTATTAGTTGGTGATTGCGCAGATAAAGCTAATTAAATAAGTGACTTTTATTTTATTGGTAGAACAATGTTCATCGATCGATCTGATAAGTAGACAAGCTTTTGATAATAAATACCTATAAAGCAAGAAGTAAAATAGATTTATATAAAGATTTATTAGTTAAAAACTAAGCCGGAAACCGATTTTTAAATGCAAAATTTTATCAAATTGTTTTAAATACTGTTAGTTTAAGCAGCGAATCGAAAAACTGTGATCCTCACCTGTGTTGCACGGGTCCATTCACGTTTTATATTTTTTTATAAGTATTTTCACAAGTTCTATTTTTTTCATTTATAGATCGTTATAATTCTTATGTTTGTTTATGATTCGTTATTTACTTGCGTTATTTAAACCTGTTGTACCTTCTAATTTTGACATATTTTTAATTTAATTACTCGATATTTTTCTCTAGAGAATGGTAGGGAAACCTCAGTTAGCCTCTCTACGAAAAGACCTACATGTACATATCTTTGTTTTTTACATAATCCCTTTAGGCACTTGCACAGGTTGTAATTCGTTCTGACAATTTCTTGTTTGCTTCTGATATTTCTGCGCTAGCTCAGAGATGCTTTGCAAGAGTAAATCCCATTACCTCATTACGTGCTTTTCGCTAGGATTCACCTCTTATCTGTCAACGAAGATTCTGTTGGCTAGTGATTGCCTGCAGTTTTAAATGGGCTATCCCTTTCAACGTGGAAGAGATAATTTCCTTCATAAATGGTTGTATTCTCTGTGTTTCCTTACTCTATCGATCTAGGAAGCTTACAACCGACGGCTTTTTTCGAGAAATTTGGTGTTAAAAGTCCCAATGGAATCGATCGTCTCCCCTTAGTTTTATTCGGTGGAATGGTTGAAGTTCCATTCTTCACAAACGAGGACCTAATCTCACTGTTTCCAATATTTGAATCATTTCTATCCACTTGTAATCCTGATAATCTTTTTGAAAGCGTCGACATTCTGAATTCCTTTATTAAAGAGCGTATAATAACCTCTGAGGACTATAAGGTTGGGAATACTTTCGATACTTACTATCCTTTTAGATATTAGATAAAGAAGTTAATCTACTCGAAACCGCTTGCCGGATTTTACTTCCACATTGGGATACGGATTATACTAAGGTTCTGGAGGCAGTCTTAACGTTTTTTGGACATATTTTCAACTTGACTTTCACCGCACGTCTACCGGAATCTTTCGCTAAATGGGTTCAATCAGCAGTCATTGAAAGGTGCATTCTCGAAACACCGTTCTGCAGTACCGAGCCGGTAATTCTTACTAAAGGGTCGATCAGACTAATTAATGTATTGGTTAGGAATGCTCCCTTATCATGGGTAAGCAATAAAGGCTAGTGAATGATTTCGTGATAAAGATTTTCATATTCTGAACTTGTGCGTTCTTTCCTCCTTCAAGGTTTTTGAGAGGTCCCCATATTTAATGACCAGTCTTCTGCTTTCTTTGGCCTGGAATTACAGTGCTTCGCTTGCGGGGGATGTTATAAATTTCATTATTGAGTACAGGTGAGTTCATTACGCTACCCACAGAGTAATTGAATAGTACTCCTTATTTTAAATATCACATTATTTATTTTTTTGTAGTTGGGATTTGATTTTTAATAGGCTTGCATATAGATCTCCTTTACAGCCCATCTGGTCTAGTTTTGGGTTTATAGGGAGGTAATTTTCAATTTTCCTGCATATTAATCTCCGATATATCTATTGGTGCGCTCATAAACTTGAAAGGCATCTCATTGTAAACTAGTTGACTTTAGTTTGTCGAATTATATTTATTAATTAAGTTTTTATCCTTAAAAGGGACATGTTGAAGAATGTTCTCTTTTCTGTCAAACAGACTTCTACTTTATTCTTTTTACTTTTGTTTAGTCGTCCCCTTTGCTGAAAACGATAAACTTCAGCTGTAACTGTTATGCCCCGATTTGGCCATATGTAATGAATTCTTCCATATTCAACGTGCTTCCCATCAAATGTATGTATCCGAAGGGTTAATCGTATTTGGAGTTAGGAGATGAAGTTGGAATTTGATTAGGTGATAGTCATTATTTTATTCCATTAATGTCATTAACGGTACTCTTCACGTCCTCTGTAACAATTTGGTATAAAAGGGAGATTTCTTTTATGTTAAGACAACAAAGAAATGCACGCGTTTCTCCATTCATCTTCGTTTTACTGGTGCGGTGGTATCCAAACTTTCTTCCTACTCCACTTACCGATGCTTATCATATGTAATTGCATAATTGACCACAGACGTGGGAATTTCTGCTATAATTCTATTGTAGTTAATCGAGGATCTGGTTGGATCAGGAATTTCTATACGCCATAGTCAAAATATGTAGGTGTGCCTGATTATGAAGTATCATTTAAATCCTGATTTAAATCTTTAAGCAAAATTTACATAGAGTGGAATGCAAGTACAACTTGAGCAAAGTAAAACGGCTTGAAAAGTCTTAATTATTCTCTTCTTTGGGGTTGAACATTTCTCCCAGCACAAAAGAATCTAATTCGTTCATAAATACTGGTGAACTATTTTTCTACAGGGAAATGAACTTATGGAGTTTTTCCCTTCACTGTCTGGACAAGGTGAACTCATACCTCTATTTCCTATTGGTACATGTGATATGTAATTTGGAGATCTGACGCCCGTATCACTTATTCAAATTTTTTCCGATATGGTTAATCGACGCAGGCGAATAAATGGGCTGATTTTGTCGCAGCTCTCTTTAGAATATGTTTTAGATATGTCGAGGCGTATATTTATCATGTTTTCATTTGATTTTACTTCAATTTCAGTCAAGGCAATGTGAATAAATGGCTTCAAACTGTCCTAATTCCGCTTGCTAACTTTCTCCTACATGGAGTTATTTCTTGCTCTGCAGAACAACAGTTGAAATACCTCCCCGAAATGGATCATTACGAAGCTGCCGTATGGATTCTTCTTTCTAGTGTTTTGGTTATTTTGAATTTGATACTGTATTTTGTTCCCTTCTGTAGAAATTGCGCCTCCAAAACTTAGTTCATCGTTGTTTCAAAGAATCACTAGGAAATCTCCCCATTGGTGATCTCTATCGGGAACCACAGGACCCACTTTCCATGTGGCAAATGCCCTTCATTGAAGAAATTGTTAATCAACTTGTCATGCTCTTGAACGTATCTGACCTATTTCTCGATTTTCGACTCACTTCTTTTATCAATCTTCTTCCACTACTCTCCTACAATAAGGCTGTTCAAATTACCCAGGAGGTATTACTGACTGAAATTTCATTAAGTAATATGTTACCTTTTAGAATCCTAAACTGGTTGAGACAGCCCTGAGTCATAGTAGTGATCGGATTAGATCAGATATGTGTAACACCTTATCGAAGCTAATTCTCAAAATTCCGTTTACGTCTGAACTGCAGTCGGAGTTATATTGCTGGCTTTTTGAGGGAATTAAGAGTCTTCTACTTTCGGCTGATCCCACGGCTCGAAATATGACCAATCGTTCATTCTTTGTTGCCGCTCAACAAATAAGGAATCGTTGTGCTACTTGCTCCCTTAAGGATTTGGAGAATTTTCCAGTTCAGCGGTGGACAGGTGTGAATGGATACCCCCCTTGTAATGTGGAATATCCAGGAAGGACTCTTAATTCACCCTTAGGAGCCCTAGGTAAGGTGATGGTCACTGTATATCTTAGTTCTCTAGTTGATGTCTATCGTTTCGCATCTACTCTGTGGTCAAACTGTGCTTCCAGACCAGACGTTTGTACACATGTACCAATAACGGGGCTTTCGCCATTTATGATGGCGTTGCTTTCTCGTCCCTTTCTGCCACCTGGAATGCCTTATCAGCGACAAAAAATGCTGATATTGCTTATCAGTAGTATGTTTAAACTCGGTGTTATTGAGAACAGCAAGACAAATGGTGTTAATAAATTTGGCTTCGAGCCATGTAAGTTGAAACGTTTGTTTCTTTGTTATCTGTATTTCTATTTTTGTGTAGCCGATTGTTTTTATTTTAGGCACAGCGAAGAACCTGCAATTAATCATTGAGCATTTGTCTGATATTACTGGTTTTCCTTCTCTTGTTCATAGTACAACCTGGATCCAATTGATAGCATCTCTGCCTAATGTTAATTCTGAGGTATGTTCGTCAGGCTTTAAGTACTTTCTTTGCTGCTACCTATCATTTTCATAGCCTTCATATACTATAGTAGTTCTGATTATCATTTGATGAGTTCTAAATGTACATGTGGTCAGATACTGGGAACCTGGGTTATGGTCTATGGGTGAGTTTTTTTGGCATTTGCGTAAACAAATCGCTCTTAACTGTAAAAATGGGGTACTGTACTTATTTACGAGGTATTCATCATAGGGTGTGCGATTTAACCCTCCAAAACCGCAGACTTTGACAGTTATACTATACGGTATAACAGGGCTGAATCTATGTAGATGGACAGTTATGGAAAATACTACAGCAGACGTAGCTTGGGGGCCATTTAGTTAGACATTTGAATTGTTGGTAAATTTCGTCTTTTCTTACTTTCCAGATACAAGTTAGCTTGCTAGAGATTCTCACCACTTACTGGCCGGAATCAACACCCGAATGGTTCACACAGACAGTGCGAGAGGATCTTTATCGTCTTGCTGAAATTTGGTCCAATTTTCATCTTCCGGAAGTCTACACTGCTGGTGCAAATTTGTTTCAATGGCTGTTCACGTACGTTATTTTCCTATCAAACTTTTTATTTTTGGTTAATAAAATATACATAATTAGTTTTATGCTTATGGCAACTCCTTCATAAATGGTCGCTTCAGTCATTTAGTATTTTTATTTTTTGTGTTGAGGTTTTCATAATTAACTTGTGTATACAGTTATCACTGGTGTAACTCATGGCGGAAAACGCGAACTATAACAAAACTAAAAAAAATTTTCAAAAGGAATCAGAACTTCATTTTACTAATAGTTTAGTGGTAAGCAAATTTGAAAATCAGAAAAAGGTATTGAATTGGATTATTTTAATAAATACTAGAAAAGGAGTTTGTTTGCCATAGAATAAAAAAGCTGCTAAACTCGTTTACCTGCTCCCTGACTCTTAGAACATGCACGCTAATCGATGTGACATGATCCTTCATTGAATTAAATCACCTAGTCATCAAGTATTGACCCTTTCTTATCCATTATCCTTGGAGTTCATCCATGAAACTTGAACATCTGGAAATTACGCGGTAACTGCGATTCAAATGATACTTATTGCCATTGAAAATTATCAGATTAATTGAGCTTATTCCAATGAATTCATGTAACAAAATAGTAAATTTATAATGAGTAAATATGATATCTGAATAGAGACCGTGGTTAGTGTTCTACTGGTTAGGGTCTATTTTCTCCTGCGCTTTTGTTTCCACCCGCAATTCTGTCTTGCAATTTACGTTTCTTTTGCTATAAAAGTTTATTTTTGCTTCATAATATGTATTCTAGAATTGGCAGCGAAAATACTGCAAATCAACTAGCATCTCTGCTTCTTGAAGACATTAAAGATGGCTGCAAAGAAAATTCTGGTAGTGATCACGAAGATGATCTTTCTCAACGAATATCGGAGAAGCCAATCCATGGTAAGTCTTCTGTCAGTTAAATAATCTGGCTTGTCCTATGTTCCCTCAGCTAGTTGAGAAATTAAACGCCGTTTCTACTTCCAGGCTTCCTCATAGCTATCGACAATATCCTATTCCATTATGGAAAGCGCATTAATCCCAAAATTCAGTTTCCTCAGCCGGTTTTCAACTCCTCTATAGACAAGGCTGTATTCTCTAGACTTGGTGAACTTTTGAGCCCTTGTTTGGCTCAATACTGTCTTCAGCTCTCGAATGAATGTCTTTCGGTAATGGGTGTTCCTACATCTTTTACAAACTATGAAGGATCTACTTTGTCACATCTTGTGGCCGGATGTAAGTTGAATACTGTCTCTCCAGAGGAATATGAATATACCCGTTATAATTAGCTTGAACTCTCATTCTAGGTGAAGCTTCTTCTTTTGAAAAATTAGGCAAATCCGTTCTCGAGTTAGCACTTCAAGCTCAAAAGAAGACATTGACTGATCAAGAGACTCTAGAGTAGGACATTTTCACGTCGTTCTAACTTGCATAATTCCTTTAGTCACACAGATGATGATACTGTGCCCATAGAACTTTCCTCGCAATACAAACGCATTCTTTCCTGGAGTTGGTATAACCTGAAGGTTTGTTTTCCCTTAAGTTTCTCTTTCATTGTTCTCATTAAAGCTAACCTCCAGCATCTTGGTGAAATGGGTATATTTCCGTGTCTGTATGGCTCTTTCTTCTGGAGGAAAAGTGGATGATATTGTTCAGAAACTACTATCACATGTTGGCAAACAGCTGATAGGGATCTTAATGGCTTGTCGACACAGAGTAAATCAAATTTATGCTTCAGTTCAACTTCTTCCAATAGGGTCTTGTGGAGTCAATATTTCAGTGTCTACGGGACTATTTGACAATCTCCGCCTATTTGAATCAATACGAATTAGAGGGGTCTCTCAGACATATGTTAATCCAACCAGAACAAGTCGTAGAAGTCTGCCTTTTAGCTGTCAAAGTGGGGAAATTCTCAGTTACGCGTCGAGCGGCTGGGTTATGGCCAGCAGTGAAAGCTGTCCTTGTGTCTGAGATAATTGTCTCCATATATGATCAACCCATACTCTATCGCTGGCTTTGTGAGATGCTCAAAATTAGTAGTTCGTCGATCGAGTCGCCAGATAGTGATGATAGTGGAAAGCATGATTCACCTCGAGCCCTCGCATTGCATCTTATGAAGGGAGTACTGGAAGATGCCAGATTGGGTCCTGTGGCGTTTGCTTTATCTCCTCCTCCAGGTTCTGACAACTGGCTCACAGCGCTTTTCTGTGATGTTGTATTGCCGAACTTTAGTCACGGAGAATGGACGGTAGCTAATGGATCACTTCAACTATTCGGTGAGTCGAATAGGTTATCTTGTAACCTTTAAGGAGAGTATTGACGATTTTTTTTTCGGAATTTCCTTCAGCAACCATTGTGAAACGTCTGATTGGTCCTCTATACACACGCCCAGGAACATCTGTAGCTGAGATTTTTGGTTGCTATCCCCGTCTTTTCCACACATTTGTGAACATTCTCTCGGATCCTTTAACACAGAAAAGTCTAGCGCGAAATCGTGCAGTTCCGCTCCTTGGATTTCTATCTAGGCTGAAGCCTTCGTCGAATGCCGCTTTCTCGTGCGCTATTTTACTTGTAGCACTATGTGTATCTAGATTAGAGAAGGAGACAATTACCCGTTTATGTTTTTAGGGAGGAAAGTAGTACCAGGATGGTGGACTGTCTTCAAAGCTACTTGTCTCATCCAGTCGCTCAAATACGCTACCTTGCAGCTAAATCAATCGCTGCCTTTATTCCGCTTTCTCCATCACGCGTAACTGGGGCTTCTTTCTTGGCTTCTGGAGGTCCATGTGGCATTCTTGAAGAAGAGCTCTTACCTTGTAGAACCTTGAAGCAATCTAATGGTGCGAACATCATAAGTGGACAATTGCTCAGTTTAGTGGCTTGGATTGAGCGAGCGCCTACTAGCTCCGAGTCGGCAGCTAGAGCTAAGTATGTTTTCTTTCTCAAAATGTACTTGTTGCTCTTTTTAATTGTTAGAAATCTTCATATGAAGAGCATACATTCATACATTTTATTCAATCCTTCAAAGCGGCACATTGTAGCACTTCAAAACCACAAATCTGTCAGGTGTTTACTCATCCTGCTTTCATGCACAATTATCAACGCATGCAGCGCCCATTATAAATTTACTTGTTAATACGAAAATCTCATCTTTTTTATGTTAAGTACCTTTCTTCTACTTCAGAATGATTGTCTGGTCCCGCGCAATTGAGGTTATGAATAAATGGACTGGTCCCGATTGTAAATATTGGTACTTGGCCACCCACTTGACAAGACTCATGCGATGTGTGTTCGAGGCTATTCCTCCTGAGGAAAAAGCTCACTATTGCAAACAATTTCATAGCCTTTATAATTTCCAACAATGGAAGGATTGTTCCAATGACGCTGCAACTGAGGTAAGCTGCTTTAGTTGTCCGCTTTCCAATAAGTTTTTTCAACCTATTTACCATCAGCAAATAGTGTTCCTAGTTCATTTTGGAGCTTTACATAGTAAGGTTAAGGTTTATACTGTAACACTACACCACTTCGTTTAGAGAACGTTACTATAGCCTCTCGATCACCAGTAGTACTTACTTATTCTTGCATATAAATGGTATATAAAGGCAAACAGTTATTCTACCAATCTATTATACTCTGGCTAATCTGTTTTTTTCTCAAGGGCCTCTTCCCTGTGTTCCATTCCGTACTCTATGACCTGTATTACACGATGCACGAATTTAAACCCCTCCTTGCGAAGTGGGATGACAATTTCATCACTGTTCCAGACACTCCACAACATGCTGATATCTTGTTCTACCTTCTATTGAACTCGAACTGTGGGGTATATCCAGATCTTGGCGATATAGTCTTAGGGAATCATACCTCAGCATGCATTCTTAGTCAAGCTCTGAATGTTTGCCGAATTCAAAGCAAAGATGAAGCGGAAATTACTAAGTGCTTAGAGATACTCAGCAACACTGACGACAAATCACTAATTCCTGCAATATTACTAAATATGGCGCCGAAGCTTGCAAGTTTGCACAATGTTGAGATGAAACGGTAAGTGTATTACTTAAAATGAATTTAGCTTCTCTTTAGCAAATTCACAAACTGGTGGTTGGAGAACTTGAGGTCGTGCTTGTCAATTGAGACTTCTGGAGAACAATCCAGATTGCAAGCTGCAAAAGCCTTCCTTGAATGGTTGAATTCGATAAAGCAATCTATAAAGGAGACTATTACTAGGTCTCATGAGACAATGTGCGTTTACTATCGTATACACCTTACTCGATCCTGTTTAGTGTTCTTGATCTCCTATTCTCTGGCCTGTTCGATGAATCTGCGGAAGTACGTCAACTATTTGGACAAGGAGTTGGAAAATTGTTTGGTCTCCAGTATCCTCTCTGTACTATAAGGGGGGTTGATATTCTTATTTCAAATCTTGAGAAATTTGCTTCAAACCCAACTGAATGGCTTATCAGTTTCGCTCGAAATCAGTTAGAGGCAATAGTCGGCCGAGCAAAAATTCTGCAGGAACACCGAATAAAGTAGGTTCGATTTCGTTGGAAAGTTTATGCTCACTTAGAAATGCATGTTATGAACCCGATTGTCCGAATCCATACTTTGATGTCTTCTTTACATTTGGTGTTATCGCAGATGCGTTGGGTAGATATTCTGCTGACAATACGGTAATTTCAACACTCTTTATACTTCAATATGTCCAGTAAATTGTATTTTATGAACCTATTTTCGGTTTAGTCATTAATTGAAGGCGTAGCTGAGACGCTAGAACAAATTTGCGTTAACCTGACAAATAAGAAAGACTTACGCTCGGCAACCCTGATTTTCAACTCTCCGAGTCTACATCAGGCTGCACTTGCGGAACAGTTAATTACGTATAAATAGTATATAATCACATTGTATTAATTTTTTCCATTCCAATTAGTGATAATAATTAAACATTATTGTGATATTTCACCTAATTTTCTTTCTTGGTTTTTAGCTTTTAATTACTTGAGCTTATGGAACTATGATTTATTGTGTCCTCGTTAATGATGACTACCATAAAGGCAGTCATTTGATTTAAAACTTTGTGTTCTAGCTAATTTGCTTGTAGTTAGCTAATTTTGTGGGTGGGGGGGAGGGGGGTTCAATATTGTAGGGCTCTGCCAATTGGGCCTCTAGGAGGATTACTACAGTTTAGCCGAGTTCTTACTACTATATTAACCGCCACAGGACATTCAAGTCAATTTAAGTTTAGATTGGTTCTTATTATTAGTTAATTATATCCCAAATACTTCCTCTAAGGAATTTTACCATATACTGTCCTTTCAATGAGATTTTCTTCTCATTTCAGTGTAAAAATTGATCCATAGTTACATATCATGCATAAAAATGAACACTGGACTATTCCTACAAAATTTCTGAAATTCAACTTGCTTAACAACTCAGAATCTGAGAAGAAATCACTGCTTTGATTCAAGAAATTAAAATTTCCAGAGTATAATGCCAATGTATCACCTATATGAAGTATTAATAATTTTAGCATTGAAGGCTTCATTTTAATTTCTTTGAAAATGTCGTGTGAATTTTGACATTTTATTGCTAAATTGAATTATGCGCTGGAATTAACTTTCACGTTTAATCGATAAAACTCCCTGGTCACACGTTTTGTAAAACTCTTGAGATTTTCTGCCATTTCCCTTAGACAAAACTGGTTTGCTTTCAGACGAACTTTGATTATATGAATAAAATTTTTGTTGTCAAATCTTAAATAAAAGGTAAATATGAAAAAGCCCAACCAATTGCCTAGTGAGAATAATAGGAAATCAACGACTAATACAAATCCACAAGATTCACTAGTTGATCCTCAAAATTCAGACCAAATCCACGTCGATTCTCTTTCTTCTAAAGCCAGTAGTGAGACATATTCTAGCTTCATCGCCAACGATCGTTCAAATTCTGCCACTCCAGTACGCCGTCAACCAAATGCAGCTGCTCTGAAAGCCTCAAGATACCTAGACAATGACGATGGAAGATATCTACAGTGGCCTCCCCCTGAACCTAGACGGCAAAATCAAAGAACCCTCCTTCCCCCAATTGGCATGTTCTTCGGTGCTCCTGCTAGACTTCAGCCTGATCGGAATATTTGGCTATTCGGACATCCTGCACAAGTTCAACAACTGATGCCTGAAAATACTCCCCGGATAGAGAGTGTTGATGTCGAGGAAGAAGAAACTCAAAGACTTCCTGGGGATGATACTGCCGACACAGATATAAGAGTAAATGGGCAAACTATTTCAGTATTTGAGATGTCAGACATTGCAAATACTCAAGCAGAGACGTCTGAAGAGTTAGATACTAACATGGAAGAATTTCAAGCTCAAGAGAATTCAATAGTATCCGAAGATATCCATGATGCAATCGGTGGTGAGAGAGCAAATGCCGAGCCTCCTGCAGGGCCGATAGTTTTTGTTATTGTGGATACGAATGATGGTGGACCGGAAGATGATGAGCGAATAGCCGAACAATTTCAATTTGCCTTGATGCATCTTCTGGCACATCTTGAAATGAACTCGGGGGAAGATGGCCAGCAAAACGACGAACCGGAGTAAATGCCCGTTTTTTATTTTTTCCTTTAATTTTCTATTGAATACATTTGGGTTTACCGTTCTTTATTGAAAGTAATTTGGGCTGTTCTTTGATCGTTGGTGGATTCAGATCGATATTCTTGTGGTATAACGAAACAGTATTTGAGGATATGTATACGCAGACGAAATGCTTAAAGTGAATAGAAGGACATTGCCCAGAATATCGTCATGCACACGCTTTAAATCTTCAATTATATGTCAAAATTGCCTGGGTTGAAAATGGAAAGAAGGATTAGAAACAAGACCGTCCCTAGCCACTTTGTCCCTATGGAATAAAATAAAGCAGTTTTGTAAGAGAATGCATCCCAGTTACAAATGACTGTTATAGCGAACCAAATATCTTAATAATACCCCATGCTCCTTAGAGTTGACCGAGAAAGCAGAGCTATGCTTGCCACAATTGCAACATTCAAAAATGCATTCTCCATTACTGCTTCTGTCACGTTGTAGTTGATATTTGAAGTAAAGTTGTAGCTTAACTAATTTCCCTTAAATAATACTATTTTGCTTCACAGAGAATTGTCCTTTACACAAAAATCTAGAAAGAACGACTTTATTACAAACACACAAATTCATTCGTAACGGTGCATAAGTGAAGAAAAAGAGGGAGATAAATATAGTTGGTGAGGAGGGGGGGGGGATATATACACGAAAAGGGCTACAGTGAGGGAGCAGGAGCGATATGCAGGTAGAGCGTACAAAACACGCCCAATGAGTGCTAGGGTGGATCGAATAATTAATTCGATGCCTGCTTTTTCGACACTCTAAACTTGAACAGATCCAATACTCCACCGGCCGTTACATCAGCGTCGGTCTCTTCATTAAAAAAGCTATCTTCATTATCATCGTCCTGCCCATCATTTGATCCGCCTTCGTCTTCTGAATCTCCGAAGACATTTGTTGTAGTAGTGACTCCACTAGTAGAGGGGTGAGTAGTAGCACGACGCAGTTTCAACAGACTACCACCGGCATCATCTCGACTTTGCTGTTGTTTACGTTTCCGTGCAGCCATAAGGATTTGTTGGGGCAGGGTGTTGGAGAGTTCGATGGAGAGTGCTGTCCCCGGGTCGATATGGGTCAACCCGGTCTCTTCTGATTCGGCCATGACTTGGGCAATGTAATCTAATAAAGAAACGAAAAGGAGGTGGATAAGGTGATAGTATTCTGATAAAAAGCCGGCAAAAAATACCCCAAGTGATAAAAAGATTACTGAAGACATTATTGACCCAATATAGACTATGTTCGAGTAGACTTCACTCTGCCAATGTTCTTATATCAAAACAAGTTCGAATTGATATTAGCTTATGGCCGGAAGAGAGCCAGAAACTGGGCTTTCTGGCATTAAGTTGATGTAAAGACCTTAAAAATAGTCAAAGGACACATTCCTTTGATACTTTCCAATTACAGACTAAGGAAGGCGTATGGGAGATAAGCTCCATTCATAATAATTTCAGTACGATAAGGCAATACTGGGCCTAATAAAAAATGCTAACTTCTAAATGGTATAAACAGACTTAGGTTCACATCTCAATTCGTACGCACCAGCAGGAATCTCCAACTCCAAAAAGTGTTCAAGGAACTTATCCATTTGTACAAATGGTCCACGGAAGCATTCGGGGGGAGGAAGTCTTCTAAGTAGATCAGACGCTGCAGGCGGAGGCGGAAACTCCCCACCCTCCACAGGATGGCTGTTTGTACGAGGAAAAGCCTTAGGTTTGAAGGGCAACATTTGAGAGAAGTCGGGACGAGGGAATGTGGGCTGTTGAGTACCTGCCTTGGTACCGTTGAGTCCTGCAGCTGCTGTGTTAGTTGAGAGGGGATCAGTGGAATCAGGCAGAGAGGGGCCACCTATACCACCACCACCGCCGACACCAGCTGCTGTATCGTCTACATATCCACCACCAGGGCCAACCGAGAGTAGAAAACCCCCGCCAGAACCTGTAACGTTGAGTTTGGCTAAGTCCTAAGGAGAAAGAAAGCATATTAAACGTTACACGTAACACGCAAAGGTAGCAAGCAAACTCTAATGAGCTCTATTATGTAAAAATAAATAAACTCCTATAAGCTGGCTGATCTGCCAAGCTGGCGTTTTTATTACCTATCACTAAAGATTAAAAACGTTGATATCAACATTCCGATGTGAATGAGTAGAGATAAATGCACCGAAATAACATGACCAATCACCCAATTCAATCAACCGGATAATCAGGCCGTATATGACTGAACGTATTCAAGAACCTTGGAGTTTAATTCTAAAATTTTAAATCGAAATCCCGAAGAAATGGTACAATGAATTTCATTCGTCGGATGAAAAGTGCATAATCTGATAAATAATAACATACAATGAATTAAGACCTCTTGTTGCACTGCCTTTATTCCCTAGTTTCTATTCGATTCCCCTTCGTCTCGGGTCTTATTGCTCCTTACACTTCAAATGATTTCCGTGTTTAAAAATTGGAAAACATTTTTTTATTCTGTCATAGATATGAATAATTAGACTTTATGATCATAGAATCCAAAGCCCAAATTAAATCAGATGAACCTAGAAAATGAACAGCGGCAGTAGCGACCACCATTATAATAACTGAAGATTCAATGCGGGAAACGAAACTGTTTAAGGTGTGTTTAAGCTAAGTAAATAATAAAGCCACCAAATATGCCAATTACTAGAATGCCACTCTCTTAAGAGACCGTTGTGGAAGTTGACTAACTGTTAAAGTAGGAGACAAAGAGTAGCAGTAATGTAATTATGAACAACTCTAACGATAGGAATTAAGTACTTTGCAAATATGTTCTATGTATCAACCACAGTCAACTGGGTTGCAATAGACAGAACTTTTTGGGCTCGATGACAGCAATCATAAATCCCCTTCAATTTAATGCATAGGAGGTGTTAAGCCGCGCTTTAGATTCATACACAGATAACAAAAATCTAAATCGTAAAAAGGGTCTTAAAATTACCGAAAACTCTATCTTGAAGGTTATTAATTGATCTAGTATCTTTGAAGATGTTTTACCTTAGATACGCAAAGGAGAGAAAAGATGCATTACAAATTCCCATTTTAATTGGCGATAGAAACGTTAAGTGAGAGAAAAATTACAAACTCCCTAATTACCCAAGAGGTATGGCAATCTAAAATTTTATTTAAATGACCGACGATAAAACACAGTTTACAGGCAGTGTGTGTGTATTAACGCAGAAGCATTGTGTGAAGACGTTAGTAAATAAGCGTATGGGAGACCTGTTCCATTTCAACCCTAACACCAACATATTAAGTTGAATTTACTAAATAATGCTGATCCTGAGCTTTTTTAAATTTCTTGTAATTGACAGTGAAGGGGAACTGGATTCTTAAAAAGGTATTTTAGCGCGTCAGTATTCAGTGAGAGGAAAAAATAATTAGTCATAAATTCGATGGCTTTTACTGCTCCACATCGCGGTATTATCAAAATTTGTAGGATTCTAAGGATTGTGCAGGTGCTTTTTAAAAGAAGAAACAGCACTTACACGATAACCCAAAGAACGCAATTCCGACTCCGAGCAGGGATAGAGATCCAGAAATCGATAGCGATCGATTAGAAGCGCTGTCTCACGACCCTGGAATTCTTTTACAGTTTCAATTGACTTGAGCCTCCGTTTCTCAATCTTCTGAACGCTGCCTAGATCACCTACCTTTAGAGGAGGAGAGAGTTACGAGTCAGGTGGCCAGTGGGTAAAGCTGAATTGACCAAATTGACGCAATCACTTACCTGGAGTTCGAATTGCAAGAACCTCGACCAAATTGAGCGAGTTCGTTCGGGAGCTATTTGATCTGATCCCAAGGCCCGTTCGTAGAGGACTCTAGTGTTGTTATCTTCGTTGAGATGTGACATAAAATCCACGTAACAGAGCACAAAGTCTGCGTTGCTCGAGAAGTGTTTCATGCCCAATTCGAATATCTTGTGACCAATATTCATATCCTAAATAAAGATGGAAGGAAATGGCATTGATTAAACTAACTAATGCCGGCAGCACATTGATTAAAGCGACATAAGTTTTGTTCCTGAATTCTAAAAATTTAACCTTATTAGCGAAAAGAGATATTTTCTGTATTTACATTATTTTTATGTCAATTTAATAATAGGCTTATTTGCAATGCAGTTTGAATCCAAAATGGACCAAATTGTTGAATTTAAACTAAGGATATGAATAGTTAATAGCTGAACACTTGCAATATCTGTTTCAGGGAATGCTAAAAAGTCTATGTACCGGCAGTTGACTTCTGACTTCAAACTACCAAGTCCCGACCGTATGTCATAGTCGACAACTTCCACAGTATTCACCTTACCATTTTCCAAACCATTGCAACCGTCTTTCATATATCTATGAATCACTCATCTGTTCCCCCTCTCCAATTTTTTTTGTGACTTTGATGTTCCTCCCCTCTGTGAAGACCAAAGTCAACTGAAGGGCTATTGATAACTATCATAAAGCCTGCCATATAATATAAACAAATATATGAGTGTCAAGGAAGCTAACATTTTTTACCGCCGAGTAGAACACATAAGCTTTTTAACTCATATTAAATCAATAAAACAATCCCTTGCCCCAAAATCTGCGTTAGTAGACGATGACCCATTTAGAAAACTAACGAAGATGTAATTTAAAGAACAAGACTGACCTTGCTGCAGAAGTATTCCATCATAGCGGCACAGACATAAGCCTGATAACCAACACGGGGATCTGCTCGGGCGCTCTTGAATACTAGACGAGCTGAGAGAACACCTTCGCAACGACGAGCGAAGCGCATGTATTGAATATAGGGCTGAAAATGGGACATGGGGAAATGAGTACGTGGATTAAGTCGGAAAATAAACATTCAAGCCCATCCTAACTATGGGGCAATTAAGGTGATAGCAGAGAATAAAAAATTTTCATCTTCCATTAGTTTGAATTCGGAGAAATAAAAAAGGATGCATAGACGCACTTGAGGTCACTGTGGAGACTGCCGATCTGACGAAAGAGGTAACATGATGAACGGACAATCATTTATCTATCCTCTAATCATTTATTAAATAGATTGGATGAAGAGTGACTTCACAGTTCCGAAGTGTTCTACTGGTCTGAGTGACTTGATATATTATTCCAATAAGCAATGGATTTCAAGCTACTTGTTACGCCTGCCTGCACATACTTATTTTTAGAGATTCCCCCTTAGGGCGAGAAATTTTAAGCACTGCAAACATACAAAAAATGATGGGAAATTTAAAACCTACGGACTAAACCAAACCACAACGAGGAATTGAAAATGGACATTTGCAAATACGAGTGCGGAAATCACACCAAACGAATAGGTAAAATGTTCCCTTAACACGTTGAGACGTGCTGATTTGAGTATCGACACTTGCTGTAAACAATTGAATGTTCACCATGTTGCTATCTGGAATATTCTGCATTTACTACTTTAAAATAAAAATATAGTAATAATTTACGCTTCTGTATTCACAAGGGGGGGGGTGTGATAGACTTACCTCCACGTGGTGCACCCTGGTCAACGTATACTCATACGGCAAAAAAGTCTATTAACTGGCAGTTGACTCCAAACTACCATGACCCCACTGTATGTCATATTCGACTACTTCCACAGTACTCATCCCACCCTTTTCCAACTTTATCTACTTTCGTCTTTGATACACTCTTCTGTTCCCCCCCCCCTCTTGAAACTGTTATGTTCCTTCCCCTCTGTGAAGACTGAAGTCAACTAAAGGGATAACAATCAAAACGCCTGCCATTCACAAGGGATCTCTCTAACCTTGGTCGCAGGGTAAAATCACCAAATCAGGAACAGAAACAATGTTCCACTGATTAGGTCCAGAATAATGATTAGAATGGGACAATAGAAGAAAAAAGCTTCTGTTAGACCTCATTACCAAAAAGTCATGAATCCCAATTTTGTACAGATAGATAAGCAAACTTATCAGATAAAATCGATTAGGTAAAAAATAATAAACCTACCAGAGTAGGATCGACACCTTCAAGCGAAATAAGTTTCTTGTAGATACTATGAACCTTGACATATTTACATCGACCCTCCTCATAGTCAGCATAAGCAAAATACAGCATCATGTTGTTCTTCAAGAGATTTAATGCTCTTTCATACATTGCTGCGGCATCGTCTGCAAAAACTAAGGCCATTGTCTGTTCCTAGAATGAAAATGAAATACTCAATAATCTCAGTCACAACAATTGGCACATGCAAATCTATCTAGCTCAACCTACTCCTTTACTGGTAAGAAGCTTACTGGCTTGTTCAAGGTAGCTAGCAGCTTCATACCAGATGTCCGGATGATGTCCCAAACAGAGAAGACATTGCTCATAGGCAAACAGTACTGCAAGTAAAAGGGAATAATATTAATATTTGACCTGGATGGCGGATAAGTGGGAGGTTATAGGATCGATGCGAATCAGTGCCCGAGAGGTAATCCACCACACCAGTTAATTCTTGTTAACTATAGTCCCATAAAATGTAAGTTTCTAGTAAAAGGATATCTGCACTACACAAACTAATTATAAACTTGGGAAGATTTAGGTTAAAGAAGCCGAATACCCACTAGCGCCAAGGTCAATTAAGATCTAACTACATGAGGGTCCAGACAAAGCAAGCTGAAAACATGGTACAGCGTAATGAAGTGGAAGGTTATGATGTAGTAAAATGATATTCAAGGAATTTTCAAAAAATATCACCATCGAGCTTTATTTAGTAATAAAACCGAAATCTAACTTGATGCTTTAAACTTAATGCACCTACATCTATTTATTACAAAAGAAAGCAGAAGCCTAGCTATAGCTATGAAAATAGTTCATAAAAGAATAGTGATTCTGATGTCTTCTCATTTCAAATCGAAAGTAAACATGATGAGACTTTGCAAAGAGACCTTCTGGAGACTCGCACTGAATCTAATGTCAACATAATCAATTACACCAATATGAAGCTTCTGCACCTTTGGGCACAGAGAAAAGTTGGAAAACTAGATAGTATAAAAGCATTTAGTCAGACAGGTTTGCATTGGGAGACAAAGTAAAATGAATCATCTCCAAATGGAGAAGGACTTTCGGCACGGAAATACTCAGGCAAAGATAAATTATAACGAAATTAAAAAATCGTAGACACCTAAATTCCATAAACTGGAATGTTCAGAAAACAAACATCAAATTGATATTATATGTAATATAGTTGCCCATTGGCAATCCAACTCAAAAAATATTTGTCGCAAATTCAAAGCATCAATGAGGTAATAAGTACATGAAAAATGACCGTACCTCTTTTCGTAAGAACTGATATATCTTCAGTTTTGAGAGGGTTATCCTTCTCCCACTGGATATACCTCTTCCATAGTTCGACCTGTTTAACTTCATGGGGAGTATTTTGGGGAGGAACAGAGGGAATATTTTTAGAAAGACCCTTGGTCATAATTTCATACTCCTTGGTGACATTTCGAGCTGTCATGTAATCACGACCACGCTCCTCCGTCAGTTTTTTGGCAATGTGAGGGTTGATGGAATCCTCGTACATGCAGTAGTCCCGCCAGATTGTTTCAATACCCAGCATTGGAGTAACAATCGCCCGCTGATAAACTTTACGGGTAGCGGTTATCTTTTGGCTTTCTGCATATGTACCTTGCACTTGACTATGGAGAAATTAAAGAAGAAATATAATAAGAAACTTACGTTGACTTCAGGTATGTAATATAATCAGCCCATATGGAATATGAGCTCAAATCAAGACCCATTTTATCCAAAGTGAAATCATAAGCTTGTGCCATCTTTTCTCTGAAAAGAAAATGCATAAGACACTAATTCTTACCTAAAATTTGGAAGCTTGCATTTTGAGTCCTTTACATATTGAAGGTAAAGCTTCCACAGATCAATATTTAAAACTTTAACAAGACATTTTTGAAAAAGCTTTGCCACCCTGTCGTAGTTCCTAGCTTTAATCTGAAAATTCAGAAAAGAAACAATACTGTAGGCACAAGCGGAAAAATGGAAAACTCAAAGTAAAAATTCAGATAAAGGGTTAAATGACAGACAGTAAATATGATACTTGCCTCCTGTTGAATATATATTTTCCAATATTGGCCCGCAGTAGGGAACTGGGCAACGATTTTTTCAAAAGCATCGCGTGCGTCTTCAATCTTTTTGGATTGAGCATCACGTAGAATGACACTCCAAGCCTCGATATCCCAAACATTGTTTTTTATTCGTTCTTCCGCACGTTGAATTTTGTCAACCTTCAAAGTTCGTCTTTGATTGAACTGTGTATTTGGCATGTCAGTAAAGCTTAGGTATTAAATGACCAATGAGTGTGTGGGCTAGATACAAAAGCAATCCATTGTCTATTCGTTAATTTTGAGCCGAATCATTATCACCAATATTTTAGTGAAAAATGACTTAATTTATTAGACTAAATTAGCGCAAAATATTTAGCGTCTTTTTATTTACTTCAGGACCCTATTTATAATTTTTCATTTCAACAGCTTATTGTCTAATGGCTTTGCTAATTTTTGAGATTAATTTTTGGCATTTTATATGATATTTTTCGTTAAATGATCAACTTCTATAGATTTTGGCAACTTGGTGCAAATTTAGCTTGTTTTATTTTAATATAGATTTTCCAGCTGTATGTTGGATAAGTGGAAGCAATATTTATTTGGTGATGAGATTATGAAATATCTTTCATTATTTTCTTGATTTCTCAATGTAAACGATAAATGAAATAGAGTCCATACTTACTTCTCCATGGAAAGCATTATTTGTCATTTTATTCCTTTATCATCATTCAGTATTGAAATAATATATTTAGACCTAATAATAGTTGTGCACGTCAGTAATCAGCTAACTGTTTGGATCACTAGGAAGTTAACTAATATGATATACAGAAATTCTCTATGAATCTAGAACTATGCAACCAAAAACATACTCAACTGTTTGCAAAGTGCAGAAACATTAATTTGTCCCCTTCGAAGAAATGTCTATAACCATATATAATGACTTTTAAATTCGCTGATAAATAAATGGCCAATCTTATTCTGAATTCATGGGAAAGGCGATTAAGTGCCCTCTATAACCTATTTATAAAATTAAATGGAATTGAGTTGAAGTGAAATCTTGGAGAAAATTTCACTCAAAGTAAAACTGCATTACATGCCTCTACCAGGAGCGAAGTTAATGCCAAAGAACAAACTGACATTTGATCCATTGTAAATTGCTTTGAAAACATTAAGCACCTGCCCATTAATTAGGTTTATTTATGACAAAAAATGAATAACTAACGGAGAGGAGAGGTATGAAATGGCTGGAATTTGTTAGATAAGACAGTGATAACATGGCCATATTAGTAAATTGTCACTATATTCAGTTGTCTTGAAAAAACTTCATTATAAAGTAATTGGTAAAAGAAAACTCAAGTCTGACATTAGCCTCCCTTTCTGTACAAATGCATTGATAGCTACACGATTTCACTGTTAAGATGTGCGAATAGCATTTACCTAACTCAATAAAACGTGCTTTCAATCAACGCTTTATCTCCATTTATTATATCAAATGTAGTCATACGATTTACTCCGGCACATACAGTTTACTCGCATTTTAACAAGCCGCGTAGAAGAAAACAACGTCTACAGTAATGACGACAATATAGGAACATTTTAATAAGTGTTTCAATAGGAGCAGATTTACGGAACATGTGTTAAAGGAAATACATTAAGAAAATGGCCAACAGAATCGATATATTGTGAACAATCTATAAATTCAATCAATTCCTATCGCCACACATTCGTTGGCAAAAAAATTGTTAGCACAGGTAATAATTAAAATCGAAATGATAACGACTACTGTGCAAGTTGTCCTTCAGTGCATAAAATTATTCACAATCACCAAAGTAAGAAGTGGCTTAAAACTTCATGACCACATCTTGACAACAACTAAGAGAATCGAAAGCCTAAATTCCATTCAATTTCTCTGTTGCGGTTTCAGCAGCTCGTCGCTCCTCTCTTATGATTACTTGCCTAATTAACACGTAATTAACTAAAGACCTTTCTTATACATGTCCTCCTCCTTTCTGCCGATTCAGAAAAAAAATTGGAAACATTAATCACCAGGCCCGCTGAAGAGATGCTTTGCCAAGGTTTCTCTTGAGCAGATGGAAGTTAACCTTGATTTTTTACGGTTGGGAAGTAAAGAACATTTCGATTTATTCATATTTATACTAAGGTAAAATTAGAAAGAGTGGGTGCGGTTGGTAGAAGCTTATTTGTGCTAAATTAATGGCAAAAAGTTCGATCCTTTGCAACCAATGCACATTTAGCTCTCTTAATTCCTCTAATTTATACAACTTAAAAGCAGATATATAATCGCGATATTTCATTATGGTAGGAACGATTTTCAGCTCCGTATTCGACTTCAACAATAATTAGATATAAATGAAATATTTCGTAGACCACACCTTGAAAAGAAGGACAACAATATGGAGCCTGTCTGATTGTCGTTCTTTCACCTGTAAATAAAGTTAGATGGTCTTAAAATTTATTTGAATATCTACTTTGAGCATTTTTAAGATTTTGAATCGACCTTTCCAAGCACAAAAACAGGGAGAAATGTCATCCAGATCTCCAGCATTGGGCCATATTACCAGCTCTCCCGGCCACAGCAAAACTTATATAAATACTAAATAAGGATATATCAAGAACTGAAAGAATACAAAATTTTCAAAACACCTCTCTACCTCAATTCTCCCACATGATTATCATGGTTAAAAAATATTTTAAAATAAAATGCTGATATAGTGAAAGTACAAGGAATAACACCAATATTTGCAGGCAATTTTCGGGCAAAAGATCTGTTGATATTAAGCTTTGAAATTTGAACAACATAATGAGACAACGCCGCCGAGAGTACATCGCAAATAAAAAAGATAAGGCTGTCAAGCGAGTTAGGAAAGACAAATACACAAAGGCAGCCCTTATGAATAGGGATGACTAATGAAAACAAAAGAAGGAAAGTGAAATGAAGGTTCAACAAAATATCAAACGACTTGAGTGGCTTGGCTATTCTTCACAATACCATTTCGTTTAGCAGCAAGATCTTTGAAGGGTTCCTTGGTTCCACGCCAATCAAAACTGACGGTTTTTCGGGCTGCTGCATCACCGGCGCTGATATTGTCATTAGATGAGTAGAGAATCTGCATGGAATCCACATGGGCTGATTCAAACCCACTTTTTGAGAGGTGCTTGGATGTTAGTTGTAATCTTTGGGCTTCCAATAAAGGATCTAAGCAAAAACGAAGGTAAAGCAAGCATCTAAAACTGTTTATAAGTAAAGCTCAAATTCAATTTTAAAAAAGAGGATCTGGAAAGGCGCTAATATGTTAAACGATATGGACTTAGTGAGAGAGATGTTTAAATAGATAGGAACGAAGTTGATTGTTTGAAATAGAATTAGACTCACATAATGAATTCCTGCTTAAAAGTCGTCTTGTTTACGCCTCTCCTGGATTTAATGTTGGACTCGATATAGTGATTTAATTAAGTTATTCTTAGCTCGAACAGAGTAGTTTCTAAGATGTTGAATTTACGTCAAAGTAATGCTACTAGACATCCATACTAGAAGCAATTTATCAGGCAGAGCAGTGCAGTAAGCCACATTTGCTTTCCGAATGAGAAAGTAGTGGAAAATCTCCAAGACAGGGGGGGGGGGGGGGGGGGGGGGGGGGTGGTGGTGGGAGGGTGAGGGATAATGAAGTATTTAGAGAAAGGAAACGGAAATTATGGTGAAGGAAGGGTAGAAATTTATAAATTCCACGATCGCCCATCCGTTTACATGATGTTATCAGTTAAATATCTCCTGTAACTAAAAGGTTTTCAATGATTTACTTTTAATAAAAGAGGGAAGTTGTGTGACAAATTAGTTAATTTAATTGCAAACAAATTTGTCATTACATCATTTAAAGAAATTATTCAAGAACTAATTGGCTAAAGCACGTGAATAATCAGAAGTTGTAAAAATAACTGAGAATGTATAAGAGAGCACAGCATAAACTGAGCAGAAAAATTCTATAATCTAAAAATTTCAAGCAGAGCAAATGAATTCTTTCTATGACTGAAGAGCCAAGAAAATATCCACTTTCTTTTAACTTAGAGACTCCTTATCATTGTAACTCTGTTTAAAATAAGCGATACATTAGAGCAACAATTTTAAAGGTGCTACTAACCGAACTGAATAAGATCACGTTGGAGCCTTTCCAAGTCTGGAGATTCTTGTAGAACGGCCAGTAAAACTAGTTGAAAAAAGAAAAAATACATAATACTTCATCATTCAAAACTTATTTTTAGTGACTCGATCATTGACTTACTTTCATTAATGACTGGCAGCCGTGGGGGAAGCCAATTGGATAATTTAGAGAAGGGAATGGGAATTTGCAATTTCAAAGACTGAAAGAGCAAGAAATAACAATTTAATTTAATTTCTAAGCAACGAATTGCTATGCAGCACGAAACTTAATAGACACTGAATAATATATTGAACCAATGGCGGTGGATAAGCAATACTCGCCGTCTAAAATATCACTCCGTCAGTTATATAGGATTCAGAGCTTAATTTCCATCTTCATCGGCAGCCTGCTAACCTTGATGTTAAACATACGCCCCAAAAATATGGAAAATTATCGTAGTTAGCAAATAAATCCATGCGGTTTGTCTTTCAACTTCTAATTAAAAGTTTTTGAAAGCCGTTAGTTAAGGATTAAAGAATGTGCTTTGACACTCTCTCATTGTATTTTCGTATGATGAACTCTCTGCGAGACAAGGCGAGAGGAGAATGATTGAGGCTCCCAATAGTCAAGTGTGTTTGGTTGGGCTACCCGATCAGTTGAAATTGCCAGAATATAATACCAAGTGGTCCATATAAGAGGTATTCTCCGTGAGGTCTTCTGCAGTTTTGTGCGCATAACACAACACATTCTAATTATTAGAAGAAAGCACTAACTCAACGATTGCATCAATACCTTATTTTAAGAATGAAATTGACTTAACATACCTTTACTGGTAGTATTACAGTATAAATTAACTTTCTGCTCCCAACCAGAAAAACCCATTAAAAAATGAACTTTCTCTTGCCTCAACCTAAAATAATCGCAAAGTAGAACAACAAAAAACAGATCTGACATTTATTTTCAAAATGGTCACTAATATGGGTGGTAAAACAGAAGTCGTGCTATGATTCATTTGGAACTCTGCCAATAAAGCCAGAACGATACGAAACTAATGTTCACCTATGCGCATCTAACAGAAGTAGATGGCTAACAGAACTATTTACTTCTGAGCAAAAAACCACAAGACACCTTTTATTATTATCAATTATGGGGTTGTTGGTAGTTTCCTTCGCGAGCTTGGATTAAGAAATGAACGAGATGCTTGTTGTTAGCTTGGCAACACGGAAGCATTTAAATATTCAACAACAAAGGCATCATGAAGTATTTCAAATGGTGATGACAACTTGATCATCATTTAGTTCATACATTTTTCTAACTTCTTCGAGTCTCTTTATACTCACCACAACACTACCATAATTCTATAAAGTTAACCAAGCGACCTTAAAAAGTCCGTCTTTTCCTCCACCAGAAAGAGAAAATCTGACGTCTTTGGCATAAGATTGAACAGAGAATGCAAAGGAGGGATTAATCAAAGGGAAAGTTGAGCTTGATTACCTTGGCAACTATAATCAATATTTCCTGATTGTCTTCATTTAGAATATATTTACTGTACCTTTATTGCCTTAATTTGAATTAAAAATTCATTCCAAGTATATCATACTCAACTTTTCTGTATATTTTATAAGCAGAAGAGAGTTTAATGCATAAGAAAATGTGAAGAATTGACCATGAAAAGGAAAGAATTTTTCAGGTTCACAGCGTTAAAAATATCAAACACGAAGCTATGATAAACTTAAACAAACAATAAAAACTAAAATGCTTCTTACCTGACTGTATTCGGGTCTACCCATTGGCCAGGGCAGGTCAATCGGCGGCAGTTTGCTCCCACTCCTCTTCGCACTTTCGACTAATCTCTTAGCCGCCTTGGAATCACCCAATTGCCTCGTGTTCGCATCATCGGCTACAACTCGTGAGGCCAGCTTAACTGTTTCTTCGTTCCTTTTCTCTTGAACTGTGCTATGACCACCAATCAAGCCAGAGAGTTTACTGAATGCTGACCTCAACGAGGGAAAGTCTATAGGGTCACCAATGTGAGCTCCTTTGGGCATGCGCTCGATGACCTCCGGAGGACATAGATTTAACGAGACTGTACTCCCTCCTAAACTGTCATCGGCGTCACCACGTACTGAGAAATCATTGAGTTCAACTAAACTGCATGGTGAAGTGGCACGCGGCATTCGGCGATAAAGAACCGAGTGACTCTAAAAAAGCGGGTGATGTGTATTGCCTTAGAAAAAGGTGGGCGAGTGGGGAAAGGCCAGCACTTGGCTCAGGATGCGAGGTTTACGTCACATTGAGCAGCAAGCGTGAAAGACTTACATGCTTGCCAACTAAGCTTACGTGTGGGTTTGGGATTTTCAATTAATTTAATACTTTTTTAGCCGTAATCACGGAAATCCGTTAAAAAAACTTGATAAATGTGCATAAATAATAATAAATCAACCAGATTGCTAGAAAGTTTTTCTTGGATTAGTAGCTGGTTTGAATGGTAATAAGGTCAAAACAGAAACAAGGAAAAATAAGATTTAGGCCAGGTTTGGCAGCAGCGTTTTGCTTAGGAGATTAAGGTATGTTCAACCAAATAGTACACAGTTTATATATATTGGGTTGGCAACTAAGTCATTGCCGTTTTTGTTGACAGATTCGCTCTATACTTTCTTTTGTTTTGTTAACGTGGCCAGAGCATCTAACCTATATTTTTTTCTTATTGTATGGGCTTCTAGGTTAATTAGTAAAATTTTTTTGTTTAGTTCTTTAGTTTTGTTTTTATCCCAATTTAAAAATGAAAGAACAGGACGTGCACTTCCGACACATTTTATTGTATTACTTCCGAAAAGGCAAGAACGCATCGCAAGCACAAAAGAAGTTATGTGCCGTATATGGAGATGAAGCCTTAAAAGAAAGGCAGTGTCGAAATTGGTTTGAAAGATTTCCTTCCGGTGATTTTTCACTGAAAAATTCACAACGATCTGGCCGCCCAGTCGAAGTGGATGAAACCCATATCAAGGCCATTATCGATTCAAATCGTCACAGCACAACACGAGATATTGCAGAGAAGCTCAATGTGTCGCATACATGCATTGAAAAAAATTAAAAACCCTTGGTTATGTCAAGAAACTTGATTTATGGATCCCTCACCAGTTAAAGGAAATTCATTTGACGCAACGGATTAGCATCTGCGATTCGCCGCTACTGAAATGCAATGAGAATGATCCATTTCTGAAGAACCTAGTTACTGGCGACGAAAAGTGGATAGTCTGTCAACAATGTTACTCGCAAGAGATCATGGGTGAAGCAAGATCAACCAGCCCAAACAGTATCAAAAGCAGAGATTCACCAAAAAAAGATTATGCTGTCAGTGTGGTGGGATCACAAAGGAATTGTGTATTTTGAACTCATGCCACAGAACCAAACGATAAATTCAAATGTGTATGATGAACAACTCGAAAAACTGAAGGATGCAATTGAAGATAAGCGGCCGGCATTATCAAATCGGAAGGGTGTTGTTTTCCATCATGATAACGCAAGGCCCCCCCCCACACATCTTTGGTTACTTGGCAAAAATTATTGGAACTGGGTTGGGATGTTTTGTTTTGTTTTGTCACACCCACCATATAGCCCTGACCTTGCGCCTTCGGATTACCATTTGTTTCGTTCCATGCAAAACTCTTTAAATGGTAAAATTTTTAACAACGCGGATGATGTCGGATCACACTTAATTCAGTTTTTTAATAGCAAAGACCACACATTTTACGAACGGAGAATTTTTACTCTGCCAGAACGATGGAAAAAGGTCATCGACAAGAAGGGTCAATATCTAATTGAATAAAGTTATATTTTTAAACAAAAATTCCTAATTTGCCTTCTTATTTGAAATCGGCAATGACCTAGTTGCCAACCTAATATATATATATATATACATATATATCTGGACATTTGTAGTTATGTCTCAACTTAAAACCAAAAATATACCCTTCCGGTAATATACCTATTAACTTACCAGCTGCGGTTTGAGATGAGTTAACGTTGATCTCGTAGCATTTGCGAGAACAGCTTCAGCGGCTTTCCGCCTTCGATGCTGAAGGGCATTATGTAGGACCACGAATCTATCAAGAGTTTCACGGAAGAGACGCAGTTCCTCGCGCTCTGCTAGACAGTTAATCAACTGCTCTGACACACGACCTGTCTCTATTTCCAACTCATTGACATAGTGTTGAAGCAAAGGCGGAGAGAGATTTTGCAAATCTGTATGAAAAAGGGAACAATAGCCAGTAATTAATTAAGCTCAAAGGCAGACAGGCATTGAAATTGAGCCTCTTCAAAAAAAGTTACGTAAACCCTGAAAAATAATAAATTAGTGATGAGAAACAGTGGAGCAACCGAAATAATCTGCTTGCTCGTTGTTCCACCTATACGCAACTGAATCATCGAACCTGTTGACAGCAAGACGGGAACTAAAAGTCTTCCGTACTAATGATCAACATCAGTTGTTATTAGCCCCGGTGATGGATTGCTTCGTGTATTTTAACTCTTCATGGAGTTTTACCATAACTTTACGCACGTACGTGATTCATATGCACAAAGAGTAAGTTGATCAAATTTTTAAAAATTGCGATCGCGTCCACTGGTAGTAGATGATAAGGGTCTTTCTAAATATATTTTAGAATTAAGTAAATGATGATATCTAAGGGTACCTTCTAAGAAGAGATGTACAATAAGTGCGAATTGAGCGATTAATTGGCTTAGATGGAGTGTGATTTCCTTAAACTAAATTATCAACGTGATTTCGCTGGGAAAAAGCCAACTTTTATCTGCCGGAATTTTACAAAAGCGGTGTTATTCAATTATCTTCATAGTTTAACGATATGGCCAATTGGAATTAAAATATAACCATAAAGGCATGGTTGAATTCACCTGTGTCAAAGAATTTCCAATAGTACTTAATGAGATAAATAGTAAGGTCCATTCAACTAATGTTCCTCTTATGCAAAAACATGTCATGGAGGGTATTCGAAAGTCGGGAGTCACTAATATCCTATATAAGATCATAAATGCCACTAAAAGACTAAGTGTAATGGGCATATACGAAAGGAAAAATATGTTTGGTATTTAATGTTCAGCTTATCGACCAGAAGGTAACTAGACAAAATAAATAATATTGAACAGAGGTCAAACACTTTAATTGGCAGGAAAAATATTGCAAAGCAAACCATTTACTCACTAAATCAAATATTTGTTAATCATTTCGGGGGTAGGGGGCTTCATTATTCAAAGTATTCGGTTAAAGGAGTTTAAGTTTATCGCTTAAATAAACGATAAATGACCCAAATTTATAAAAAATAACCACTAATGTTAGTTTGAAGCGAATAAAAAGAGCATGTAGCCAATCGGTTATGTCAACGGGGTGACTTGGTTACTTAATATTAACACATTTTAACGTCTGTTTTCTCCGAGGAAACACTTTGACATGATCTTGAAGAAACCCTACATCTCCGACATATTTCCAAATATTCGAATAGCAAAGTCTCACATTGCATGCACCGAAAATGCTCCCCACTCTAAGGATCGAAATTCATTAATCTATAATTCGACGACGCTTTGGTGCTATTCACTAAGAAATACTTCAGTTATGTATTATAAAAGGTGATATTTAGCACTATTTAAAGTGATTTAATTGTACCAAAAGCTTTCGTCGCAACAATCAGTTGAAAGCCAGAGGAATCGTTTAGAATTCTTGAGAGAGAAACACAGGAGAATTCCTACCCAATAAAATTAGAGAATGATTCATCACCACCTAATTGCTTTTCAGACCAGTTAATCCAATCGCCAATCATCCCCAAGGACTCAGATGGTAGAAAATTTTCTTTGACCTTAATAAGCCTATGACTCTCGATATTGGATAACTGACTATACATTGATATTTCAATTATCACTATATGTGTAACTTAAAGTAATATGCCACTGGCATAGCGCATATGAATCATTAGATACATTCACAATTTACACTTCGTTCTTCATTACATGCAAATGCAAACTAAAAGAGGCATTGAAGACATAAGACAATGCTAAGATCTTTCCTTGAAGAAACTTCAAAATGAATAAATCCAAACTTTACATAAACTTTACAATCATGCGAGTTTGCAGCAGTTTTTAAGACAGAAGTACAAAAATACAAAAAAAAACAAATCAACCTTAAATGGAAGATGACCGAAAAAACACCCTTAAATATTTCTAGTCATGTTTTATAGGAAAAGGAGGTTGCTATCAAAATTCAAATAAATAGTAATCTCTGTAAATTATAACTACATTAGTTGGCATAGTGAAAGGTATCCATCTCCCTAAGTCGTGCCTGCGAAACCACTTTTGAAGCAAGTAGAATAAATATGAGTAACCCTCTTTTGAAGAGCGAAATGTTAACACCACTTGATAGTATCAACCAATAAAATGCACACAAATAAAAAAACTTGAATTTTACCGCATTAGTCCTTATTAAAAGTTAACTTAAATCATTTGAGTTTGAACACCCTTGCTTTCGGTCTTTAATTTCAGTTTTGCGAAACAATACATCTGAAATTCAATTAAAACTTCCTAACTGGCCAACCTTTACAATATGCCTCTGAAAATGTTTTTTTTGGTTCCTAAGATGGGGTTATGAACGAGTCAGTAAATTTTAAAGTAATTATCTATTAATGAGTTACTTTTCTCTACGAAATTAATTGAAAATCACGAGAGGAAAATAAAATAGACATGAATTTTGGCAATGGAAGTAGGTGGGCTGAAGAATGCGATAAATTATACACAAATTATGTTTTTCATAGATGATATCTAAGTCAAGTTCATAAAATTACATCTACTAAGAAAATATAAAGATAGCTATATTGTAAGTATTAAATAAAAAAGGTGAATTAATTAGTGAATTTGAAATTTGAATAATACGCGACTTGGTTAAATGCATTCATTAATCTAACTGAACCAACATACTATTCTTTGTTTATAGTTGATTTCCCATGATTGAAAATGAACCATATTTTTCTTGCTAATAGGTACTAAATGCCATGGAAAGTAAATGTTAGTGAAACCGAATTATGTAAAGCAAACCCAGGCAACTAACGCTCTTGCCTTCCAAGTGCAAGGATTGCTCAGTTTTTAACGTGTTTTTCCAGGTTTATACCTCACTGGTAATGCATTGGCATTGAAATTTTATGTAGAATTATTTGAAGAATACAACTATGCATATCATTGACAGACTTTCGTCTAAAACATTGAAATGAATCAAGAGGTTAGAAACAAAGTACGATTTGAACATTTTTTGGGAAAGGCAGTAATTTCTACCCTCTTCTCCTCCTCCTCGTCCAATCATATGAAAAAGTTGTGGGACAGATTGAAACAGCTACCTAACGTTGATATTGACCACAAGTGTGAAATAAAAGAAAATATAGCAATAGATGTTTCTCATATTAACTAGTTTACACAAATAAAATCTTATCAAGTCAGTTGAGTTTATGAAGTAGGAAGAACGACCTATCTAGATTTGAATAACTCAGAATGTAACAAGTGATACCCGATAGCCCAGAGTTCACTGCCTATAGAACCGGCAAAACTAATTTAAAATGTGGGTAAAAAGAAATCTATTAACAAGATATCACTTGATAGATTAGACTTCTGTTCTAAGTAAGTTAACCCCAGAAAACATAATCCTTGGAGAAAGGGTGTAAGCATTAGGTCTTAAGCACAACTGGCGTTAAATAGCCGATCCTCTTATGGGATCTAATCTAAACGGCATTAATAGAGTAAACTCTTAGTCGATGCTCCTCCGATGACTTCCCATTCACTTCTGTACCACCCCCCCCCCACTCCTCTTTATTCATGCTGGCGTTTGGACTGATTTCACTAAGGCAATCCACAAAACAAATTTATGCTTCTTGGTGCTAACTACGTGGCCTTGATTCTTCACATTATCAAATTCGGTAATTTTGAAGTTGTATAACAACAAGATTTCCCTTTATTAAAGCTAATGCTACTCAGATTCAAGGAAGAGGAAAAGGGAAGATTTGTACCCCAAATGACGGTTTTATTAACAAAACAAATACACGTGTATGGGCTTAAATGTGTGATAAATGATTGGTTGCATGGTTACCCGGTAATTGCAAAGACGGCTTCTCCACGCCTGCATTACATGTATGGAGGTGCGAGCGTGGGAGTTTAATAGTCGATAAACCAGAGCACGAGAGAAGAAGACTGGGAGTTCCTCTCGAGTGCAAGGAAAATGTTCGACATGACCTCTTAGCACCAAGACATATTTAAGTGAAATGAGGTGCTTAAGACTACGCTTTCAGACAAATACAATTTGGAAATACAAACCCGCTATTATAACTTATTCTTGTTGAGTAAAAACAATGTAAGAAAAAAACGAATAATTAAGACAAGCTTCCTGGTTTTTTTAAAAGCGAACAAAAATTGGGACAACTTTGTTCAACCTCTAAACCCAAATAAATTTCATTTTTGCAGTCAAAAATTTACTGCCTGGAACCAAACGTAAAACAGTCACATTATATATGATCGCCGTCGTAAAGTTTTACCCTGAAAGGTGAAAGTATCAATGGTACATTTTACTAACTGAGAAATTCTAGTCCAAACTTCCTCTTTTGAATTTCCATATTGATCATAAAGCAATTTGTTAGAACAATGGGCAAAATTGTTCACCCTTACCAATTGGGTTCTGTCTTTTGCTTTAAAGAAATCGGTATGTTGAACTACAGGAAAAGGAACAAATTGTAGATACCAAATAATTTATGACAGCACATAAGGGATAGAATCTTTTAGCATAACTTGATATGGGATAATAGTAACCATTTTGATTGGTCGTTTAAGTGACAAGTGCGGGATGGATAACAAAAGCGCATTAAACGCCTCTTCAAAACGAATGTTTAGTGAGAGTTAATTTGGTTTTTTTAAAGAAATAACCGTAATTCCGTGATTATGTTGAACATATTTACACAAAGCATAAAGTAATAAGCTATTGATTCCCCTACCGATGTAAAAGAAATATCCAAACACATGTCATAATAGAGATATTAAACTAAGCTATTATTTTCGACACCAAAGAAAATATTGGAATACGTTGAAGTAACCGAAAGATCTAGTTGCATTATAATGAAACACGTTAAATAATTTTCTACAACCAGTGTTGTACGTTAAAAATTAACTAACAGGAAAGTTGGCAAGCTATTACAAGGGGTTATT